CCCTAACTTTATCAATGGCTGGACATATAACTTTAGGTAAATCCGTCCTTTTGATGATTCTGGTTTATTTCAATCAAACCATGTTCCTTCTAAAAAAAAGCGTGCAATGATATCGAAGCTCTAATTTGGATATTTATTTGGGGCTCAACATCACACGCTCCCAAAATTTCCTTCATTAATTGGGAGGTCGTTTTCCAACCAATAGATTGCGGTGGTCTCGGCTTACGATAGATGCATGATTATAATATTGCCTTCATCCTAAAATTAGGTTATTTCCTTGTTACCGAAACAGACTCCTTGTAGGTCACCCTCCTACGTGAGAAATATAGTTTGAGTGAACTACTCCCAATTTCGATACGAAGAAGAACATGCACTCCTTTGTGGTGTGTGAAAGCATCCTCTTGGGACATATTATGTGATAACATTGTTTGATCTCTTCAAAATGGTGGAACAATAAACTTCTTCAATGACGTATGGATTACCCCGTTGGGGCCTTTACGAAACCATATCCTCCAGCATGTCAACCTCAACTTTGATTTTACTTTTGATGACTTCATTACTAATAATGGTAACTAAGATATTTCGAAGCTTTCTATGTTTTCTCCCCATACGATTGTCTTACATATTATTGGAATTAAATGCCGAGACCCCATGGATGCTTCAGATTCTTGCATTTGGAGATTTGATAGTAAGCATTCTTTCTCCACCAAGTAGGCATACACTCAACTTTCGGAGCCTTCATGGAATCCGAAGCTCCCTATTTGGAAAAGCATTTTGCGTTTACTAGTTCCTCAACGCCTTTGACTTTTTCTTTGGCTTGCTTGCAGACAACGCCTGATAACCAATCTAGAACGTTACCACCGGTCTATTGGAAGTAGTTTGATATGTCTCTGCTGACATGAGAAAGACAAGTATATTATTTATGTGCTGTGTGATTGGAAGATCTATAAAGTCCTCTAGTCGCATTTGATCCATCCTATAACACTCAAATCTGATCCAACCCGAAATCCAGAGAATTTGGATATTACACGGAACCACCAAAGTGGCTAACCATTTTTTTTAAATCAATACCCACATTCATGATAAAACATCCACAAAATTCATGGTTCAAAATAAATAGAATAAAGTTTACAAAATGGAAAGCTCCCAAAATAACATCTCCAAAAACATAAAAGTTTACTAAAAAGTTACGACTCAAATACAAATAAGGTCTATAAAATACATGCACTCTAAAATAACTAAGACGTACTCTAAAGGCCGAGGAAATCTAGAATCCACAACCTGGCGATATGCCCTTTGAAGTGGCACATGCAAAAAATAAAAAAAATTCAACGCTAAGCTACGCACTCAGTGTCACACAGATAACTCTATTATACTACATGCATCCATTAAAAGATTATGATTGAAGGCATAGTCATATGGCAACAAAATGCATCAAGCATAAGTCACAAAAAAATTTCATTTACAACGTATAGTGGCATTGCCATCAATAACTAAAGTACGTTAGCACTAATACTAAAGTGCCTCAACATTATTACAGAAGTGCAATTGCATTGATACTAAAGTGTCTTAGTTTTGCCGATAATATATCTGGATATTTCTAGACGTAAGCTTTAGATTGTGTCAAACATGTAAGTAGCTTGGGTGTCCTTGTTGTTTTCCTAGTGTCAAAAAAGGCTCAAGTCTTATGGCATAATATTTCTTAATTTTCTTATGCTTATCACACAATATTTACAGTTTTTCACTTTCATTATCATCAAAGGGAAATTGATGTCTCTAAACCATTTTCCAACCCCATATCCAAAAGCTAGGCTTCTTTTCCAATTCAGTACGATGATAACGGTACTAAGTCCCTTAGTATCGATACCAATCTCTCAATATCAGTACCCACTCATTGTACTAATACCAATTATGTAATCTGGAATCAAATATATCCTGGTAGTTTCGATACCCCTATGTGGAGTATCGATACTATATTAGAGTGTCGATACCATCCCTAATACCAATACCAATTCTGCATTCTGAAATCTCAAATTGAATGCTAGTATCGATACCTCGCCCATAGGTATCGATACCCTAAGAACATTATCGATACTTGATGAATGGAATCAATAATTACCTAGCCAAAATCCCTTAATTTTGGCCTAACAAATGAACAATATCGATATTGTTTATCCACTACCGATATAGAAACCCATAAACACTTTGTTTCCCATGAAAAATAACCCTCAACTCAACCCTTAAGTCCCTCTAAGGCCCTTAAATGTTATCTAAAGCTTTTGCAAGTTATAGGGAATCATAATAGGTCAATTGACATGCATTAATCTCTTTAAAAACTTCTAAAACAATAATTCACCAAAAACACACCATATGCTCAATGAGCTTATACAAACAAGTAAACCTACATTTAATGACCTACAAGTGGTATAGATGAGTTAGAAGTGTGTTACCTTGACTCTAGCTTCTGAGAAACACTTCAAGGTCACCCAGGCACAAGCTTCTCCTTGTTATTGCCTTTAGAGCTCTCTTCAACTTCTCTCACTAATAAAAAGAAAGGACATGAACTACTAAATTATTTTAGAACTTAAAGAGAGTATAAATATGATTCCTAACCCTTAGGAATAGATTCAGATCATCCTAAAGCCATAAAACCAAAGACCCCTCTAAAACCTTCACCAAAGCGACCATAGCCAAAGCTTGAGATTATGGGCTTAAAATGAAGCTCTATTGGTGGAGATTAAGATTCTTACCTTCATAATTTTGGCTTAAACTTGCTAAAAAACAAAGTTCTCACCTTTGGGGTTCTTATAATGGCAAGAAAAAAGAGAAAATAGAAGAGGAGGAGACAAGGAAGCATGTCTTCCTAACGTGTGACCTCATCCTATTTTAATGAGAACCAACCTTATTTCAAATAATGGATGGGTAATTTTACCCTTTTGTTCCTTCCTTGTTTGATCACAAATAAAAAAAACTTCCCTTTTATCATCTTTTGGGATCATCCCAAGGGCATCCCTATTCCACACTAACCCAAATGTTCACAAAGGCCTACATAGACACTTTAAGCCCAAACGGTTTACATGAAACTACCAACCCAATTTTTGTCATGTTAGAACTCTCCTCTTCTAAAAAGAATTTCAACCTCAAAATTTAATTGAATTAAACAAGTGTGGTGTAACAGCCCAAATTATTCCCAAATTTAAAATCCTAAAATTTGAGATTTATTCTCAAAATCCGTAATTTGATTTTGGTGATCAAATTTTAATTATTTTCAAACATGTAAATAATATCATAAACCCCTTTAAAATTTAAAGACTAACTTTACGATTATACCATTTTTATTATAATCACAAATCCCTAAGTCTATTTTATCATTCAGTCGCACCTTTCCTTATTTCTTTTCTTTCTTCCTTTGTTGCTTCACAAACACAATCGCTCCTCTTTCCCTTACCCACATCACTGTTCTTCGAAGTAAGTTGTCAGTGAGTGAGCCAGTCGTCCTTCCTCGTTGCGCGTTCATCTTGGTGTGCCCGTTCGTCGTTGTCGATCTGTTTTGGTAAGGAAATAGAGTGTGTCCCGTCATTCCATCACCGTCGTGGTGATCAGAATTTATTTTAGTGTCGTATTAATTTCAATTTTAATCTAAAAATTGGTGTATTGAGATATTAAATCGGACGTTTTATTTTACGAGAGACATCGAACCAGAATTACCGCCACATCTGCCTTTGCCTGTTAATTTTAAACCAACTCGAATTATAAGAACTGACCGTAAGTTTTAGATTGTACATTAGCTTAGATTCAGTTTGTGATAAATTAGTTAAATAATTATTATTAATTATTCTTTAAGAGCTGATTCGGTTCGACCCACTATTCGAAGTGACCATGGGAGACATCACGATTGTCGTTAGTTATTTTTTGGAGGTGTGTCTCTATCAGGTGCTACATTTTATTTTTGAATTATATGGTTTTCTACTATATTTTTATTGATTTTTTATCTTATACTTCAGTTATTGTTATGTGAAATATAATATTATGCAAAATAAAAAAATGATATATGTTGAATGTTGATCTATCAGACATAAATTGTGTTATGTGATGTTGTTGATTTATTGGATTCATATTTATACTATGCATTTGGATTTTGAAACTATGTAAATATTTTTACATTCAGATCGAATTGATATTCGGGTATTTATATCATGTTGCCATGTCTTACTGGTTTGGGATTGATAAGAGAAATTTAGTGCATTCACCCAATGAGGTGAATTTCACTTCAGATTCAGTGGACTATGCTTTTGTGGTAAATCCCACTTCATATGATGTTACTAGTTAGAGTGGTTCTAAGGAACTTACTCTTCAGACGGTGTAAGTAGTATGGGTACATGTTCATTTGCATAATATTCGAACTATGATTATTGATGTTTGAATATGATTGTGATGTGTATGACTGTTGCACTTTAGAGACACATTAAGCTTAATATCTTACCCCCCATAGTTTTCTTTTCATATATTCGTATTTAGGCGACTCAATACATAGAGTGTTGCTTTATTTTTCACATAAAATTATTACCATCAATATGAGATTGTATTCAGATTTCTTATTTTTGGACTTTTATTCGTATTTGGGAATTATTATTATTTTTTAATTTGAGACTTTGGACAATATAATTAATTTGGGGATATGTTTATGCATGTTTTGAAAATTTATCATTTATATCAAATTTTTCCTCGGACATTTGTTTTAAATGAAATTATGAAGTTTGAACTTGTGAATAGTTTCATTAATACAAATATTAGTTTTGAGTTTTGAACCGAAAATGGTTTCTTGAGGGATAATTTACAAGATGGACTATCTGGATCCGACCTACTCCTTCTAGGTCGGGTAAAGGGGCTACATGTGGGTACTACAGTTGCATAGCTTCTTCGGTTCCATCATCGCTTCTTCGACACCATGATTCCTCCAAATGACCTTGACTAGCGGAATCATCTTGTTTCGTAGTTCCTTAACTTCTCGTGCCAAGATCCTCAACATAAGAAATATCCTGACTTACTTTAATTTGTTCTAGCAAAATAACGTGAGAGGAGCCCGAATGGTATCTCATAAGCATGGATACATGGAACACGTTATGGATGCGCTCCATCTCAGGCGACAAGATTAAACGATAGGCTACTGGACCAACTCTCTCAAGCACCTCATATGGTCCGATAAAGCGTGAGGTCAACTTCCTTTTATGCCCAAAACGAAGAACTTTCTTCCAAGGTGACACCTTGAGAAACACTTTGTCCTCCATGACAAACTCTATTTCCTTTTGTTTTAGAATTACGTTAGATCTTTTTCTGTCAAACAATTCCCTCAACCAACCTTGGATCAAACAAACTTTTTCCTCTGCTTCTCGAATTAAATTCAACCCAATTAACTTCCTCTCGCTAAGATCCATCTAACATATAGGAGTTCTACACTTTCGTCCATACAATGCTTTATACGGAGCCATCAGAATGCTAGTATGGTAGTTGTTGTTGTAGGAAAACTCGACCAATGAAAGATTATCTTCTCAACTACCCACAAAGTTAGTGGTGCAACAACAAAGCATATCCTCTAAGATTTGAATCACTCGCTAATACTTACCATCCATTTGCGAATGAAAGGTAGTATTGAAATGCAATTATGTATCCAAAGCTTCGTGAAGTGCTTTTAAAAACCTCAAAGTGAAGCACAAATCCCTATCAGAAATAATCAATGTAGGAACTTTGTAAAGCCTCACAATCTCTTGGATGTACAACTGAGCTAGCTTTGCCAAGGTGAAATCCATTCGTAGTGGCAGAAAGTGATCCATCTTGGTTAATTGATCTACCACTATCCAAACTACATCATATCTCTAGCACGTCATAAGCATGCCGATAACAAAATCCATGGTTACCCTATCCCATTTCCATTGTGGTATTGAAATAAGATTAAGTAAACCTGAAGGAACTTGATGTTCCACCTTAACTTGCTGACAAACCAAACATTTAGACATGAACTCGGATACCTCTCTCTTCATGCCCAACCACTAATAAAATTGTCATAACTCTTGATACATTTTTCCAGTCCCGATGTGGACTGAGAGTATACTAAAATGGGTCTCACCAAGGATCTTTGTTCGTAATTTTTCATTAGCTGGCATACACAATCAAATCTCTGAAGTGCAACACATCCTCATCTCTTAACTTAAAACTATGTAGCTCATCTCGATGAACTCGTTCTACCTTAGACATTAAACGCCCATCAATCCCTTACAATCCCTTTATATCCCTAACCAACACTGGCTCAACTCATAACTCTGCTAACAATTCCCCATCTAAGATCATACTTAGTAGTGCAAGCATTGCTCGAAGATCCAACATTGATTTATGACTCAAAGCATCTGACATAATATTCATTATACCCAGATGTAGTTTATAAAACAATCATAATCCTTTAGAAACTTTACCCAATGACGTTGCCTTAAGTTCAACTCCTTTTAAGTAAGCAAATACTTGAAAATTTTATGGTCGGTGAAGATGTGACACTTTTCTTCGAAGAGATAGTGTCTCCAAATTTTCAAGGCATAGACCACGGTGACAAGCTCTAAATCATGGGTGGGATAGTTGCGCTCATATGGTTTAAGATATCAGGATGTATAAGCCACTACAATCATCATTGAACACGGTATAGTCCTTGTCGGACTCTGGTAAAGTCAATACTTGAGTATGAGTCAAGTTCTCCTTTAATCTCTCAATGCTCTGATGGAGTTTCTCACTCCAAATTAAAGGCATGTTCTTTTGAAGTAACTTAGTCATAGGGGGTGGAAATCATTGAGAACCCCTTGACAAAGCAGCAGTGGTACCCAATAAGTCTAAGGAAATTATGTACTTCAGATACATTTCACAGTGGTTCTCAATCAACCATGACTTTAATTTTTTATGGGTCCACTCGAATGCCATTCATGACCACAACATGACATCTCAGTTAGCCAAAACTCACACTTATTGAACTTAGCATACAATTGGCTCTCCCTAAGTGTCTGAATAAAATACGAAGAAAATGGTCGTGATCTTCCTCTAACTGTGAGTAGACCAAGATATTATCGATGAACACTACCATAAATTGATCCAATTAAGGGTGGAAGACTCGGTTCATTAGGTCCATAAACGTTATTGGTGCATTGGTAAGTCCAAACAGCATCACCAAGAATTTATAGGGACCATACCATGTCCTAAAAATTAGCTTTGCTATGTCAACTTCTTTAACCTGCAACTAATAGTACCCCAATCTCATATCTATCTTAGAGAAAACTATCTCTCCTCTAAGTTCATCAAACAAATTATTGATCCTTGGTGATGGATACCAGTTCTTTATTATTAACTTATTCAACTATCGATAGTTGATACACAACCACATCAACCATCATTATTCTTTACAAATAACACCGACACTCCCCATAGTGATATACCTGGTCGAATGAAACCCATATCGAGTAACTCTTGAATATGAACCTTAAGATCTTTTAACTCGATCAGTGCCATATGGTAAGGAGTGATGGATACCGAAGTCGATCCTGGCATCACCTCGATGTTGAATTCTAACTCATGATCGGACGATAATCTTGATAACTCCTTCGAAAACACCTTGGGGAAGTCTCTCACAGTATGGATACCCTTGAGCGTCAGGCTCGAAACTCTCATGTATACCATGTGAGCTATAAACTCCTTATAACCCTGGGTGATTACTTTCTAAGCCTTTAAGGTTGAAAAAACTTGGTGGTGTAACTAAGTCCCTTGTCGATCATTATGACTTTGGTACCATCATCCTTCCTATGCTTAATTTGCCTAGTATTACACTAGAGTCTCATTGTGCTATGACAACTAATATATCCCAAGGGTTAAATTAAATTCTCAAAAATACAGTTCCATAAGGTTGGCAGGGAAGGTCTGACCTTAAACCTCTATTAGACATCTACTATGGACCTTGTCCACAAGAACATTTAGCCCTAACGGACTTGAAACTCTAACCTAGAACTCAAGTTTCTCAACTGAAATACCTCATTCTTGGACAAGATCTTAACATATATAGGAATGGGTAGAACCTGGATCTATTAAGGCAGTAACAAGAGTGTCAAAAATAGTGGAAATACTTGAGATAACATCAGCTAACTTACACTCCTTTTGTGCCTTCACCGTGTACTGTCTCAAGGCAACTTTAGCCTCTGGTCTAGCCATTGATCTGGCGATACCCCTACTCTGCTGACTCGACATTAACTATATTTTCTTCAGATAAATCCTCGACCCTCTGAGCATATTGTACTGACCTCTGTGCAATCGGCGGTGCAACACTATCTGACTCAAGGTAGTCTCTGATGAAGAGGTATAGAGAGCCCAACCTAAACATTCCTTCGTGACCCGATGACACTCCTTAGTGTGCCATTTTCTAGTGTGTCCACATAGAAAAAACTATAAACCTTTACCTGATCCTTTAGTACTCGCCACAGAGGTTGAAGTCAAAGGTCTACTACGAACTTCTGACCCCTAGAAGCATCTTTAACTCTACCTCGACCTATGGGACTATAATAGTGGGGACCTCTTCACTCCTTGGGATTCCCTAGCCCTCTTGGTCAAATACTGGGAGGGTCTAGCTAAGTCTGGTGCCCTCGGGCTCTGATCTTCCAAACCGTCCATCATATGGGCTCTCATGTTATGTGTTCTCTAGATCTCCTTGGCCTGATGAGTCAACTCTGTAAAGACATTAAGGGGGTCGATTGATAGGTGGGTAAGAATGTCAATATGTAGTCCTTCTCTAAACCTCATACAACAAAGGTTCTCAGTGGGTACCAATTTTACCACATAAAAGCTCAAAAGGAAGAAGTCGTGTTCATACTCGAAAACGTAATGATCGCTCTAAAATAAATGTGAAAATTGGTCATTCTAGTCATCAGTGTGGACCTCTCCCATGTATATTTATCTGAATTCCACCAAAAATCACTTTCAAGTTGGCCTCTCTAGCTTCATCGCCAACTCAATTATCTCTCACCAATCGATGGAATCACCCTTCAGTAAATTAGTGATGTACTCCAATTTACCCAACTGTCGGAGTATACAAAGAGTCTCACGAAGCCACTGATCGACAAAAATTGGATCATCATCCCACGAACCTAGAAATTTAGTAGTCTTGTAACGACAAAGCATTTCTACTAGCGACTCTTGAGGTACTATGGGTGGTGGAACGTGTGGTGTGGGTGTTGTATGTTCTCTCAGGATGGCTTTAACTATGTACCGAAGAGCGAATATGAGTTCTCTAAAGAAGGTGGGCTCATCTATTACCGTAATCTCTAGGATACCAAAGTCTTTAGAGTCTGTGAAAAATTCATCACCAATATCTCCAATGAGTGAGACATGACTTTTATCTTGCCTCTCCTGACTACGTGCAGGATCGTCGGTCATAACCTATGGAATTCAAAGAAAAAGAGGATTCATTATCGTCATTCTAGATATTTAAGTACTCTTAACACTCTAGGAGCATGTATATCATTGACACTTATCAACTCTAACCCGTAGGTCCTACGAACGATTGAACCTGATGCTCTGATAACATTAAATGTAACACCCAAATCTGATCTGATCCAAAATTTGGAAATTTTGGATATTACACGAAACCACCAAAGTGACTAACCATTATTTGTTTTCTAAATCAATACCCACATTCATGATAAAACATCCATAAAATCCATTGTTTAAAACAAGCAAAATAGAGTTTACAAAATAGATAGCTCGAAAATAACATCTCCAAAAAATCAAAGTTTATTAAAAGACTTACGACTAAATTAAAAAAAAGGTCTATTAAATACATGCTCTCTAAAATAACTGAGACATATTCTAAAGCTTGAAGAAATATTGAACCCACAACCTAACGATAAGCTCTCGAACTAGTGCCTAAAACATGCGAACAGAAAAAATTCCAAACATTGAGCTATGATCTCAATGCCATACATATAACTCTACTATACTACATGCATCCATTAAATGTGTATGCTTGCAGGCGTAGTCACGAGGCAACAAAATGCATTAAGCATAGGTCACAACCAAATTTCATTAATATTTAGAATACAATGTGTGGCATTGCCATCAAATAACTAAATTTCCTCAGCACTGTTACTAAAGTGCCTCAACACTGTTATAGAATTGCAATTGCACTGGTACTAAAGTGCCTTAGCATTGCCAAGAATATATCTAGATATTTCAAGACGTAAGCTTTACACTGTAGTCAAACATTTAAGTAGCTCAGGTATCCTTGTCGTTTCCCAAGTGTCAAACAAAGGCTCAAGTCTTACGGCATATTATTTATTAACGTTCTTATCCTTATCACACAATATTTAGGGTTTTCACTTTCATTATCATTGAAGGGAAACTGATGTCTTTAAAACAT